CTGTGGGGCAGTTCCACTCTGTCCTCTAGGGGCGCTGTGGGTCAGAATCCACTCCACGGCAGTGGGTGTGGTTTGGGCTTTGCTTCCATTGATTGACAGCCTTGGAGAACCTGTGGGCAGTTCCACTCTGTCCTCTAGGGGCGCTGTGGGTCAGAATCAACTTGACAGCACCCAAATACATCAACACATTTGTAGAGCACTTCAAAATCAAAGTTACCTACATTTGCTCTCTGAGATAATTTAAAGACTGAGAATGGGCCAGAAAACAGCTTCGTCAAGCACACAGTTGCATTATTTATAACCATGACGAAAGTGCACGCTAAACATTTTGTAAAGCCAAGTCAAATTCCAAAGCAAACAAAACAACCGAGCCTGTTTCTGCCATCTGTGCTGTGCTGAGCACCGTGACCCCAAGTCAGCGCCCTCCCATCTCTACGTAAAAGGCTGAGCAAGGCAGACATACAAAACGCAGCTTCAGAAACCAACTCTGAGGTGAACAGAAGTTACATTGTTACTAAAAACGACTCCTGAACAGAGAATCGCGTCATGAAAATACTCAGACCGTTGAGTAGAAGGTGTCACACACAAAAAGGAAAATAGCACATGTCACAAGAAATGACAAATTTCCAAAGCACTGACCCTGAACACACGCTTCACAAAGTCAGGTCAAGGCATTTTGAAATTAATAGATATCTGACCACGGCCTTTCTCTGTGTTAATAAGTCATTCTTTATCACAGTGAATACGTCAAATGTTAAGAAGCTTTGCAATTGCCAGGGAAGGCACCTCGGCCTTGAACAACTGACCGTGTCCTTGTCCTATATTTTTAAATTAATGGAGCAAGCGTCCATGGCTAGTGAACGAGGTTTCACATAAAAACAACTGAATCAAGGTTTGCAATATGAAGACACGCAGCTGTCCGTGTTCTCAAACACCTACTTTGTAAATGTTTTTAAAATATATTCTATGTGTGTACGTATGCATTACGTACATGTGCGTGTTAATCGGAAACCCTGGGTGTGCAAACGTTTAATGCTCTTGGCTGCTAACCAAAAGGCTGAAGGTTCGAGTCCCCCAAGTGTACCTCAGAAGAAAGCCCTGCTGGTCTACCTCTGAAGATCAACCACCGAAAATCTGAGGGGGTCGCCCCCACTCTGCCACACACAGAGGGCCGCAGGGAGCCGGGTGGACTCCCAGGCAGTGGGCTTGGTGTTACGCGTGTTTCATCTCTTTCCTTATGGGGCCAGGAGGTGGGAGCTAAAAGACTTATCAGTTGGTTCTTTTGAAGTGCTAACATGAGGGAAGTAAGCTGTTGTGAGGTGCCGGGGAGCTGGCCTGACTCATAGCGACTCCATGTTCAACAGAACAAAACACTGCCCGGCCCTGCGTCAGCCTCACGGTCCTTGCCCGACCTGAGCCCATTGTTCCAGCCATTGGGTCAGCCATCTTGTTGACGGCCTTCATCTTCTTCACGGACCCCTCCTTCACCGAACATGACTTCTCCAAGGACTCACGGTTTCTGACAACATGACCACAGCAGATGAGATGAAGTCTGGCCATTCTCGCTTCCAAGGAGCATTTTGGCTGCACCTCCTCCGGGACACATCTGTCCCTTCTTCTGGAAGTCCGTGACATTTTCAGCATTCCCCGCAAACACCACAACTCAAAAGATCAACTCTTCTTCAGTCTTCCTTACTCATTGTCCAGCTCTCACAAACATATGAAGCGATTGAAAATAGCCTGGGTCAGGCCTACCTTAGTCTTCACAATGACGTCTTTGCTTCTTAACACTTTATAGACGTCTTTTGCAGCAGATCTGCCCAGAGCAACACGACGTCTGATTTCCTGACTGCTGCTTCCATAGGCTATGATTGGGATCCAAGGAAAATGACATCCCTGACGACTTCAATCTTTTCTCCATTTATCGTGATGCTGCTCACTGGTCCAGTTGTGAGGATTTTCATTTTATATTGAGGTGGAAGCCATACTGCAGACTGTAATCTTTGATGTTCAGTAAGTGCCTCAAGTCCTCCTCACTTTCAGCAGGCAAGGTTGTGTCATCTGCATAATGCAGGTTGTTAATGAGTCTTCCTCCAACCCTGATGCCATGTTCTTCTTCATAGAGTCCAGCTTCTCGGATTCTTTGCTCAACATACAGATTGAATAATCATAGTGAAAGGATACAACCCTGACTCACATCCTTCCTGATTTTAAACCATGCAGTGTCCCATTGTTTTGTTCGAATAACAACCTGGTCTATGTATAGTTTCCCCATGAGTACAATCAAGTGTTCTGGAATTCCCATTCTTTTCAATGTTATCCATAATTTGTTATGACCCACACAATAAAATGCTTTTCCATAGTCAATAAAAACAAGTAACGATCTTTCTGGTATTCTTTGTTTTCAGCCAAGATCCATCCGACATCAGCTATGATATCCCTCATTCCATGTCCTCTTCTGAATCCAGCTTGCATTTCTGGAAGTTCTCTGTCAATATACTGGTGCAACTGTTTTTGAATTATCTTCAGCAAAATTTTACTTAAATGTTATATCAATGATATTGTTGGATAATTTCCACATTCTGTGGGATCATCTTTCTTTGGAATGGGTACAAATAGGGATCTCTTCCAGTCAGTTGGCCAAGTAGCTGTCTTCCAAATTTCTTGGCATAGTCGAGGGAGTGCCTCCAGCAGGGCATCCATTTGTTGAAACATCTCAGTGGGTATTCTGCCAATTCCTGGAGCCTTGTTTTTCAAGGAAGTGGGAGGGGAGTAAAATTTTAAATAAAAATAAAACGAGTAAGTTTTCGAGTCTCTTCTGACATCCATTTTGGTCTTTTCTTCCTTTGCTGTCTTTTTAGTGACCTCTTGCTCTCTTCATGGATGATGTTCTTGATGTCATCCCACAATTTCTCTGGTTTTCAATCATTGGTGTTCAATGCATCAAATCTCTTCTTCAGATGGTCTCTGTGGTTGTTATGTGTGTGTGTCAACTTGGCTGGGCCCGGGTGAGTGGCTGGGCAGCTGGTGGTAGTTATTCCCCATGATGAGACTGGCAATCAACTCCAGGGTGGGATCTACCACAAGCAGCTGAGTAGCTGCCTTTGGGATGTGGTCTGCTTCCTGTATTTAAGGAGAAGCCTTGGGAATGGTCCCTAGCCTGTGGCATGCTTGGACCCTGCATGGAGCCG